TTATTTATTAAAATAACTTTGTAACACAACATTTTACATGCTTTTACTTTTTAAACATTATTCTGGAAAATAATTTTTACACAATATAATGATAATTTGATCACACCAATAATTTGTTTAAATCGTTAACCTATAAAAAAAGAACGAGACGCAAAAAACTCGTTTAAAAAATATAATTGAAATTTTGGTTATTGTTTTTGTTTAATTAAAATGTGTATAAAATATTTTTAGGTTTTTTGTTTTTTTAAATAAAATAATTAACATTTTTTTCAAACCTATTCTGCCGCACAAATCAACGAAAAATTTAATTGTAATTTGTTTGTCTTGCTACTCCGATGTTGTCACAGTAATAATAAAGATTTCTACTCATTACGAGTGTCTGGAAAAAAGTGGTCGATTATATTTCAGACCTAAAGTTATAATCGCATTATAATTGTCGTAAAAACCTGGTGTCTGATCTCTTGCTACAGTGTCGACTATGTGAAAACTGCTGAAAGATGCCTTTTCATACAATAGCAAATTTATATGTAATTTATTTTAAAAAATTTTCTCATTTTTATATTTATAGAAAAAACGCAATTTTTGCGTCTCGTGCATTTTGCCCAAGAAAAAAAATATACTTGGTTAACTATAGTTTTAACAATTTTTTAAAAACATTTTACACAAAAAAACTTTTTAAGTTTTTTGTTGACAATATGCTAAAACTAAAAATGAACTGACACATATTAGAGATTGCCACGAAGTTGTTTGAAACTGGATCTTGGCAGACCCTGAATAAACTTGAGATTTCCAGATTTTTAGACCACTTGATAATTATTTTAATAAAATTTTATCATATTTCAATAACAAAACAAAATTAAATATAATAATTGTAATACTTTTTATAAATAAATTCATATTTTTAAACTTTAGGTTATTTGAATGTTAAAGGTCTTCAATTCAATTAAAAATTAATTATTCATCAAGCCGTTTATCAAGTTGACAACTTCTCCTATTTCAATTCTTTCGGTTGGAATTGTACTCCAACATTTTTGAATTACATCAAACTGTTCATTAGACATTGAACTCGTTTTTTCAAGTCGTTCTCCTCGTGTCACAAACTCTGCAATTTTCCATGGGAACTTGAACTGCTTTTCTGAAAAAGCATTGCACCACCCAAAGCACTCGTACATAGTTATCGCAAACGAGTATATATCTGCTGGTTTCTTATAGTGTTCCATTTTTAATATTTCAGGAGCCATGTAACTTGGTGTTCCAATACCTTTTGTGAATGTCATGTTTGTTGTCAACATGTTGACATTTCTACATGATCCAAAATCAGTCAGCTTAGCATTGATACGTTCGTTATAATCCAATAAAAATACGAGAATGTTGTCTGACTTGATGTCTCTGTGTAATATCCCATTCTCATGAAGATATTGAATTCCTCTTGCCCCATCTAACATAATTTTAACACGCATTTTTGTTTCAACTTCGGCTGATTTTTTCAGTTTCAAAACATCACTTAAAGACCCAAACTGAGCATATTCGGTGACCATACACACTTTGTTTGGTATGAACACTGCGCCATAAAAGTGGACGATATACTCACTCCGGAATTTGTCCAACATGTTCACTTCATTTTCAAATTCATCGAAAGACTTCTTTTCATCAGTAATTTCATTTGTTAATGTGTTTGGTGATGCAATTTGTTTCATCTTTTTTATGGCTACTAAATTACCTTTGTAATTTCCCATATACACAATGCCAAATGATCCTTCGCCAAGTTTGGTGATCACATCAAGTTCTTTGAAATTAAGTTTGGTCGTCTGTTGTGTTGTAGTGTCAATTCCTATTTTAGCGTTTACGACAATTCCTGTTGTTATATCAAGTGAAGTGACCATCACGTTTTCTTCTATTTTACATGAACACAATGGCTTTATAAATATCTCAAATTCACAAGCTTCGCCTCTTTTCACTGTAACAATGGAAGGCATTGTGCGAATTTGGTAAGAATCACACCCTTCAATGACACTGAATTGGACTTTCATGTTGTGTTTTGATGTGTTTCCAATGCAGATTAAGTCTCTTGTCTCTTTATCAACTGGAATAAATTCGTCGGTATCAATATCAAACTTCAATTTAAATTTGTTGACAACGATATTCTCTATTAATTTAGACATTTTGATGTTCGAGCGACTCATCTTGTATGTGCACACTTTGAGCTTTTCTTTCTTCTGATTTTTCTTTAATATTACAATAAGAGTAATTATTATCAATAAAACTATTATTATCAACACTAGTAGAATTGACATTGGAATACCAATTGCCGCTCCTAGATTTGTTGTTTGAATGCAACTGTCACCACTTTCAGATGGTTTGTTATACCCCTTGCATGTCACACATTTTGAATTCTTAGCTTCAATACAATTTGGTATTTCAGAATAATTTAAACACTTGGATTCATATAAAACGTAATCTTTTGAAACACAATTTGTACACACAATTTGTGAAATACAGGATGTGCATAATTTCTCACATTTTGTACAACGCGAATTTGATAAGTAATATCCATCGGCACAGACTTCACACCCATAATACCCAACTTTCAAACAGTTTGTATTTGTTGTGTTAAGTTGACACAAGCGACTCTCAGACTCAATGATGAAATAGCCATCCGCACACACAGAACATGAAGTGTTGCTTATACACGAACTACATGAGATGTCACAGACTATACAATCTTTAAATATTTTATAATATCCATCTCTACATATAGCACATCCACCACCTTTTGGTAACGAGACATTGCATCTAGCAGTTAAATCACCAAGGTTCTGACATCGATTTTTTGAATCGAGATAATACCCACTTTCACATGAAGTACAATATGTCTGTGAATAACACGAACTGCAATCGTTGGTGCATTCAACACATTCGTTATTTTTAAAGTAATATCCATCATAACACCGTTGACATCCTTTGTTGTCTCTTATTTGACATTTGGACTCAGTAACTCCTTTCAAATTGAGTGAATGTTCAATATGCGAATTGGATATAACAGACACTAAACAATCGGGTTTTGTTTTTAATAAAACAACATGAGCATCATCTTCAAATGATTCCTTACACACCCCACCTTTCAATTTGAACAAATCGTTGCATTCTACACATTTACTCGTTGAAAAAGCAAGTCGTTTACAATTTGGATATACCGTTGAGGGTATAGGAAGACAGAAATCAAATTTACTTTCAACATTCAAAGAGTCAACTTGATAGAACCCACTTGAACACAACACACAGCCAGATACACTTGATTTGTCACAGTTTTGTTCATTTTGAGAAACGCATTGATTTTCTTTGACCATCAAATAGTCGTTGGAACATCTCTTGCACTCGTTTCCTTCGCAAAATTGGCAGTTTGGTGTTTGGCAGGCTGTGCATTTATAGTTAATAATTTGTGACGAAAGCGAATTGCATTTAGAGCAGTAATCATTTGTATATTGCAAACACATCTCATCTATTATACATTGCTCTGTACCAACTTTTTGAATTGTGTTTTGTGTGCATTTCAATGTGTAGATATTATTACCATAATTAATACAAATCGAAGCGGAATTTGGACACACTTCACATACATTGTTATTACTGAGATATTGGCCATCTGGACAACTATACTGAACACCATTTCTATACAATTCATTCGATTCAATTTTGTTACATATATTTTGTGATAAAGTAAAATTGTCTGTGCACACCAAACACGTTGAAGTTGATGCTATTATTTTCTGATATTTGCAATTTGCAGCAATTGACACACAATCGGAATTGATCGATATTTGGTCTGAACAATCACACGACGCCGGTGACAGATTCGATGGGCCGTTACAGTTTTGAGCACTTTTACACAGCCCATCTGACATAAAATAAACATCAGTGCATTGAACACATTTAGTGCTTTCAATTTGTACAGCACAAGTTGTATTTCTATTCACACAGCGATTTGTTGTTCTGTCATAATATGAAGTTGAAGCACATTGGTCACAACTTTTACCATTAGAACTTAAATTGTATGGGGGATAACACTTGTTGCACTTCGCATTGCCAACAGAAGCCGTTCCACAATTTTTACAATTCAAAATAGCATTGTAACACTTGTCGCATGTAGTCTCTGTCTTTTTGTAAGTTCCAGCTTCACAAGATAGACATTTTTGATTTGAGAGGTAATACGGGTCTTTGCAACTGAAACAACTCTTTTTCGTATTATTACAAGTGTTGCAATTGCTTGTTATTGTTGAGCACGCAACACACTTTCCATTTGAGTCGGGGTAATACCCATTTGAACACTTTACACACTTTCTTGAATAATCCGAAGCACAAGTCACACAACGACTGTCAAATGTAGCACATGGCACACAACTTCTTCCTTTTGGTTCATTGAAAACGTAATTGTATGAACACATATCACAAATACCGTTTGCCATGTTACAATCTCCGTTACATGTCGAGTCACAGTCTTGGCATACTTTAGAAGAATCATTTGGGTATTTCCCTGTTTTGCAAACAGCACACTCTCTTTTATCAGAAACACAAGTCGCACAATTAAAGTCGAATGTTTGGCAACTTTCACACTTAAACTGATCTGATGTTGTTGGAACATACGATTCGTTACACCCAGTACAATGTCCATTTGTCGTGTCACACTTTCCTCCACATGTTACATCACAATATTTACATTTGAAATCGCCAGCTGTTTGTGGGTAACTACCAGCAACACATTTTATACACTTTCGTTCAAATAATGGTGAACACGTCACACACCTCGAATCAAAAGCAGTGCAATCAACACAAACATTTGAAATTGGATTTGTGATGACTTTGTTTTCGGTGCATTTGTCACAATTGCCATTTGACGTGTTACACGTGTTTGGTGCACACGATGCTTCACATGGTATGCATTTCCCGTCTGCGTTTGGATAATACCCCGTGTTGCATGTGGTACACTTTCTTTCATAATTGGAGTTGCACGTGAAACAGTTGCTATCAAAATCAGAGCATTTTTGGCACTTCAAATCGTTTGTTTCATACAAAACATAGTTGTTTTGACACCCCGTGCAATGACCATCTGTTGAATCACACTTCCCTCCACACGTCAAGTCACACAAACCACATTTCATTTCTCCGCTTGTTAACACAGGGTAATAATTGTCGTTACATTGAATGCAATTTCGTGTCTCATTCTGAGCACAGAATTTACAATTGGAATCAAAGGAATCACAGCTTTCACAGCCATTTAATGTTAAATTTGTTACATAATTGGTCCAACAATTGGTGCATGCTCCTGTTTGCCCATTACACAGATTACATTCACTACTACATGGTATACATTTTTTAGTTGTAGTATCAACATAGGTTCTGTTTGTACAAGTGTTGCAACCTCTATTGAAAGACGAGTCGCAGATAAAGCAATTTGAATCAAATTCAGTACAATCAACACAAATGCTTTTGTTGGTATCACCAAAGACCATGTTGTTCTGACATCCAGTGCAAAATCCAGTAGAGCTATCACACTGATTGTTGCACGTGTCATCACATTTTTTACATCTGTTTTCAAACACAAAATAACCAGAAACACATATCACACATTTTCTTGTAAAGTCTGGTGAACAAGTTTGACAATTTGGATCGAAAGACTCACAACTCTCACATTGTAAACTGTTTGTTGTAGACAACATGTAATTGGTAACACACCCAGTGCAATGACCATCTTTGCCATCACACTGATTTCCACAGGTTGAATCGCAATTGGCGCAATTAACACCGTATTTTGGATATTTGCCGTTTCGACACGTCACACACTTTCTTGAAAAATCTGACGCACACTCATCACAATATTGATCAAAAACACTGCAATTATCACATTTTTGTGATAATGGAGATGTGACAACGTAATTCGATAAACACAATGTACAAGTCCCATACATTGGATCACAGTTGTTGTTGCAAGTAGCATCACAACTCACACAAACCCCATCAACTGAAGGCTTGAAATTGTCACTGCACTCATTGCAGTATCGCGCAAACAATATTGTGCATGTTTTGCAATTCTTATCAAAATCTGCACATGGAACACATGCCGTGTTATTCACAGTTGAAGGCACAAAGTTTGGTTGACACGCCGAACATTTTCCCGTTGTGGAACTACAAGTGGTGCACCCGTAGTCACATGGTACACAAATCCCCTGTATTGGGTAATAATTACTCTCACAAATGGTACAACTTCGTTGTTTGTCTGACGAACATGTAACGCAATTTGCGTCAAATGTTTTACAGGAAACACATTCTTTCGATTTCGGATTCTCAAAAACATAATTTGAAACACAACTTGCGCATATTCCTGATGATGGATCACAGCTGTTGTCACACGTCCAACTGCAGTTTTTACACATTCCGGTTGTCTCATCGGGATATTTAGTCGTTTTACATGTTAAACACTGTCGTTTTGTTACAATACAAGTGCTGCAATTTTCATCAAAAGTTGAGCACGGCTCACATTTGGAAGGATCGAGTAATGATGGTACATAATTTGATGCACAACCGGTGCAGTATCCAGTCACACCATTACAACTCCCTCCACATGACGAATCACAAGCAACACATTTTCCATTGACTGGATGATAATTGGTGTTGCACTCTACACAACTTCTTGTAAAATCAGTTGCACATGTTTTGCATTTTGAATCTAAATCTGAACATTTTTGACATGTTTTAGAAGTTGGAGATGTCACAACGTAGTTTTGAACACATTTTGTACACAACCCATTTTTTGTATTACACGTGTTTGTTAGACAAGTTGCATCGCACGCAATACACTGTCCTAATGAACCCGGATAATACCCCGCTGTACATGTCACACAACTTCTATTTCCACCATTTTGACACGTTTCACATTTGTTATCAAACGTTTTACAAAACACACACACTCTTGATGGGGGGTCTTCAAACACGTTTTCTGATGCACATGAGGTGCAAATGCTGGTTGCTGAATTACATGATGTGCAATTTGTCCCACATGAAACACACTTCCCATTGTCGTTTGGATAAAAACCCGTGTTGCAAACTGCACATTTACCACTAAAATCAGCACATTTCACACAATTTGCATCAAAATCACCACATTTTTGGCATTTTCTCGAAGTTGCATTGATATAAACAAAATTTGATGCACACGAAGTACAATATCCAGTATTTCCATCACATTTGTAATCACAAGACGCATCACATTTTGAACACTTTTTGTGATCAGAAATATAAAACGTGCTTTTACACAAAGTGCAACTTCGTGTACCATCAGTTGCACAAGTTTGGCAGTTGTTATCAAAAGAAGAACATAATTCACATGCTAAAGATGGTTGGTTGAGTTGTGGGACATATCCACTCACACATGTTTCGCAATATCCATTTGATGAATTACATCTATTTGCACAACTTGAATGACACTGCTGACATGTATATGGCGATGTATGAAGTGGATACAATCCAATTGAACATGTTTGGCATTGTCTGAGCGTTTGTGAACACAAAACACAATTGGGAAAGGCAGTTGAGCAACTGTCACAAGTTTGGGTGTCTGATGAGGGTTTTGTAAATCCATTTGCACACACAAAACATATCCCAGTTGTTTTAGAACACACACTACACGACAAATCACAATTCACACACTGTTTGTCGTTATTTGGATACATTCCAGAAACACATTGAAAACACCGCCTGTTTGGTTCAAGGCAAATTTCACAATTACTGTCATAATTATTGCACAATTCACACTTTGTGCTTGATGTGGGTTTCAAAACATATCCAGAAGCACACGTGGTGCATATCCCCGTTCCACTATTGCAGTTGCCACATGTTGAATCACATACTGTGCAACCTTGACTGTTGTTATTATAGTAATGGTCAAAACATATATTACATTTATTTTTGCCACTTTGTCCACCAATACACTGTTTACATCCAGCACCACATGATATACATTGTGCGTTTTCATAATAATAACCATCGTCACAACCTGAACATTTAATTTCATCGTTTTCTAGAAAACAAGTCGAACAACCAAGAGGACATTTTTTACAAATTCGATAATATCCTTCAGTTGTGAGGTAATACCCATCAATACACGAATCGCACCATTTCAATGAATTTAGATTGCAACTTGTGCACCCTTCCATATATCCACATGGAACACAATTGTAATAATATGGAAAATATCCCGAATTACATGTATTGCACCAATATTGATTTATATGATAAGTCGCACAATTTGTAGCTTTTGGATAACACAGTCCATCATAAAGTAAATAATTTAGTTTACACGAAGTACAAAACCCTGTGCTATTGTATAAAAGACAATTTGTCGAAATACATTGACTGTTTTTGTTCCATGATAAAAGTCCACTATCTCCACAAACTGGTAGACAGTTAGTGTTATTTTGAAGAAAACATTTTACAATAGAACCACCATCACAACTTGAAACTTGATAACCATCTTCACATTGGTAACAATCGTTTCCGTTGTAACTAACACACTCCAAACAATTTGGTTGTAATGTTGAGCCACATGTGATATCCTTTTTATTGTAACTTGTTTTGAATGAACTATATTGTATCACCCAATTTGAATCTATTTTGAAAGTATAATTGTTAACTTTTTCAAAAACCTGTTTTGTGTTTTGAAATATGACTTTGGTGTTGTTAAGGAAAAAAATAAGTACATTAATCTTCAT